TTTATTTTCTTTTCTCGTATTTCATTGTTAGTGTAAAGAAAAATGCAGCTGATTTCTGTATGTTAATCTTGTATCCTGCTACCTTGCTGAGTTCTTTTATCAGCTCTGGTAGTTTTTGTGTGGAGCTTTTAGGGTACTTACCTTATGATCGAGCAATCCCACTCCTGGGCATATATCCAGAGGGAACTCTAATCAAAAAGATACATGCACCCCAATGTTCATAGCAGCACTATGTACAATAGCCAAGACATACAAACAACCTAAATGTTCATTGACAGAGGACTGCATAAAGAAGCTGTGGTATATTTATATAATTGAATACTACTCAGTCATAAAAAAGAATAAAATAATGGCATTTGCAGCAACATAGGTGGATCTGGAGATCTTCATTCTAAGTGAAGTAAGCCAGAAAGAGAAAGAAAAATACCATATGATATATCACTCATATGTGGTATCTAAAAAAAAAAAAAGAAGACATTAATGAACTTAACTACAAAACAGAAACAGACTCACAGACATAATAAACAAACTTATGGTTACTAGGTGGGGGGAGGGGTGGGACAGGATAAATTGGGAGCTCAAGACTTGCAAATATTAACTACTATATGTAAAATAAATTAAAAAGCACAAATTTCTTCTGTATAGCACAGGATATATTCAATATCTTGTTGTAACCTAGAATGAAAAAAATATGAAAATGAATATATGTGTGTATTTGTATGACTGAAATGTTATTCTGTACACCAGAAATCGACACATTGTAACTGACTATACTTCAATTTTAATAATAATAATAATAATAATAATAATAATGATAAGCAGAGCTAAAAAAAAGAGAGAGAGAAAGAAAGTAAAGGGAAGCACCACGGGGAATAGAAGCAGAAGATCCAGAAATTCAGATTAGAGAGAATGGTGGAGAAGCAATGCAAGAAAAAATAATGGCTGAGAATTTCCCAGAACTGAAGAAAGGCATGAGCCCACAGGTTGAAAAATTCCATTGAGCAGTAGACAGGATATATTTTTTTAACTTCACATCTCATGATAAAAGAAAAGAAAAAAATTGCAAAACTGTTTGGAGAGAAAAATCAGATTATCCACAAAGGAACAAAAACCAGATTGACATTTTATAGTACTATCTTTAAAGTGCTGTGGGAAAGTATTTCCGAACTTAGAATTTTTATACCAGCCAAACTGTTATTCAGGAGTGAAGGCAAAATAAAGACACTTTCATAGGATATCACGTTTCATAGGTCTAGCTCATAGAGTATTGCAAAGATTAATTGCATTCATTTAGTAATGTGCTTAGACCAGTGCTTAGCATGCAAATCACCATTATATAGATGTTACCTATTAATCTGATTAAAAGAAGGATAAAAGGACATACTTCAACAAGAAGAAAAACAAACCCAAAAGGAAGAAGCAAGGTTTAAGAACATGATGAGCAAAAAAGAGAAAAATATGCAATTAAAAATTTTAAGTGTTGAGTTTTTTTAATGATTTTTTTTTTAAACAAAAAGCAAGTACTAAAACTCTCAATCAGGATTGGCAAACTATGGTCCACAGGCCAAATTGGCGTATTGCCTTTTAAAATATGGCCTGCAAGCTAAGGATGATGTTTACATTTAAATATGGATGGAAAATACTCTACTATTTTGCGACATGTGAAAATTGTATGAAATGAAAATTTCAGTGACCCTAAACAGGTTTTCATAGAACACAGCCAACCCGTTTGTTCTGTATTGGCCTTCAATAGATGCAGCAAAAGTACTGTTTGACAACACTCAACTCTCGTTCACATTATGAACTCTAAACAAGCTCAAATCAGAAGGAAATTTTAGTAACTTAATAAAGGTTATCTTCAATAAACATAAACCTAAAGGTGAAACTCGAGAAGCTTTGTCCTTAAAGTAAAAAAACAAGATAGTGATTGCTTCATCACCACTATTATTTAGCAATGCAGAGAAGATTCTAGCCCAGAGCTTATTAAACTAGGCTATGACCCATTGCCCCCAGGGACATTTGGAAACCTGGGTGGCATTTTTGTGCATAATAATGATTAGGCACATGAGATGAGTTTGGGGGAGGTAGGCTGGCATGGATACTAAACATCCTGCCCTCCATGGGGCAGTCTCATACAACAAAAAATTGTTTGCCCAGTATGACTGTAATAGCATCGTGGCTGAGAAATGTTGAGTCGATGCAGTGAGATAAGAGAAGAAAAACAAGGTATGAGGATTAGAAAGAAGCAAAACAATCTTTATTTGCAGACAATGTGCTCATTTAGAAAATCAAATAAAATAAACTATCAGAACTAAGAACCTGAGTTCAACAAGGTAACTTATTATGAAATTGGCATACAAATATTGGTAATTTTCCTGTGTATGAGTGATGTGTAATTAGAAATATTTTTGAAAAAATCATATTCTCAATAGCAACAAATAGCAAAGTACCTAGGGACCCCTTAGTAAAAGCATGTGCAAGGCATTTATGGAGAAAAATATAAATTGTTCCTCAAGCATATAAAGAAAGATTTGACAAAAAGAGGCACACCATGTTTATAAATGGGAAGATGTATACTTCAAGAAGTATTATTTCTCTCACAAGCATTTTATACTTTCAAGCCCTTGTAATCCAAATCCCTACTCCCAGTATAACCATGCTTGTGTAAATTAACAGCTTTTCTTCTCTCAGAAAGTATATAAAAGCACCAAGAACAATTCCCACAAATTCCATTCTCAGCGAAACTAATATATATATAAAATCTATGAACCACTAAATACTTGTAAGGACTACAGAAATCAGCTAAGGTCAGGCAGCATGGACTGTGGGAGAGGGTCAGGGGACTCTCAGAAGGCTTGAGCAAAAATATGCTTCCTGGGGGCAAATTTGGCAATATTCAGAAACATTATAAATGATTGTATTTTATGATCTTAGCTGCTAGGCTCTAGTTACTTCTTAAGGGTCCTAGAGAAACTCACATATGGGCATAATGAGACAGGTACTAGGAGGTTTGTTGCAGCATTATTGTGTGTAATCCAAAAAATAAGAAGCAATCTAAATATCACATATGCAAATATTAAATAAAAACAATACTGTATTTTGTTTATAGTTCCTTTTTCCTAGTTTTATTAAGATATAATTGACATATAACATAAGTTTAAGATGTTCTTGATGATTTGATACAGGATTTTTGATATTCAATTTTCATATTCTTTTTCACCATAAGTTACTACAAGATAGTGAATATAGTTCTCTGTGCTATACAGTATAAACTTGCTGATCTATTTTGTATATATTATTTAGTGTCTGCATATCTCAAACTCCCAATTTATCCCTTCCTTTCCTGGTAACCATAAGCTTGTTTTCTGTCTCTGCGAGTCCTTTCACCCATTTTTAAATCACATTGTTTTCTGCTGTTGAGCTGTATGTGTTCCTAATATAGTTAGGATATTAACCCCTTATTAGATACATGGTTTGCAAATATTCTCTCTCATTTCATAGGTTACCTTTTCGTTTTGCTGCACAGAAGCTTTTTAGTTTGATATAGACCAATTTGTTTATTTTTGCTTTTGTTGGTTGTGCTTTTGGTGTCAGAGCCAAAATACCATCGCCAAGACCAATATCAAGGAGATTTTCCCTTAAGTTTTGTTCTGTGAGTTTTACATGTAAGTCATTCATCCATCTTCAGTTAATTTTTGTGAGAAATGTATGATAGGGATCCAGTGTCATTCTTTTACATGTGAATACCCAGCTTTCCCAGCACCACTTATTGAAGAGACTGTCTTTTCCCTGTTGAGTGTTCTTAGCTCCCTTGTCAAATATTAGGTGACTGTATATGTGTGGGTTTATTTCTGGGCTCTTTATTCTGTTCCATTGGTCTACATGTCTGTTCTCATGCCAGTACTATGCTGTTTTGATTACTACAGCTTTGTAATATAGTTTGAAATCAAGACGTATGATTCTTCCAGCTTTGTTCCTTCTTAACAGTGCTTTGGCTACTTAGGGTCTTTTATAGTTCCAAATGAATTTTAGGATTGTTTTTTCTCTTTCTGTGAAAAATGCCACTGGAATCTTGATAGGGATGAGTCTATGTATGGCTTTGTGTAGTAGGAGCATTTTAATCATATTACTAGTTTTTCTAGTCCATGAACATTGGAATATTTTTTCATTTACATAATAAGTTTTCTTCAATCTTTTTCATCTATGTTTTATAATTTTTAGTGTACAGATTTTTCACCTCTTTGCTTAAATTTATTCCTAAGTATTTTATTGTTTTTCCACAGTATTGTAAATGGAATAGTTTTCTTTATTTCTTTTTTAGATAGTTCACTGTTTGTGTATATGAACACAACAAATTTTTGTATATTGATTTTGTATCTTGCAACTTTACTGAATTTATTAGTTCAACAGTTTTTTGATAGAGTCTTATTAGAGTTTTCTATATATAAGATCATGTCATCTGCAAACGGAGGTGATTTTACTTCTTCTGTTATGACTTGGATGCCTTTTTATTTCTTTTTCTTGTCTGATTTGTCTGGCGAGGACTTCCAACACTGTACTAAATAGGAGTGGTGAGAATGGACATCTTGTCTTATTCCTTATCTTAGAGTAAAAGCTTTCAACCTGTTGAGTATGATGTTATCCTTGGGCTTGTCTGTATAGTTCATTTTTGTTTCACATTTGCGTTTATTATAGAAGTATAGTGTAGTACATAAGACCACAAGGGTCAGGTTGCCCTGTTCAAGTCCTGAGTTTCACCACTTACTAGCTGTGACCTTCTGCAAGTTATTTTGATTTTTTTTTTTAGTATTTCAAAATATGAATTTGTCCAATATAGGACATTCCACGGTGTGATTATTTAGTAATCACACAATATCTTCAAATATGTTCTAGCCTCTTCAGCCAAAAGACATTTTAGTTGCATGTAATTGCTAACCAGAGACAGTGCAGGGCACAGATAACAAGCTATGAGGCACATCTCATATTTCCTAGTATTTCATAGTATCATAACCCTTGAATTTAAAGAGGACAGGAACTGAAAGGGAGTAGACTAAATACTGGTAGGTACTTGAGTTTGTCCATGTGTTTCTAAAGTGTCTTGCTGCATCCTCCAGGTCGCGGTCTCCCGGCAGGACAGGCTGAGGTGGAGATGATAGAGCGCGCGAGGGAGAAGCGCGCTTGGGAAGCTACCCTCCCCTCTCTGAGTGACACGACCCAGTTTGAGAAGAGGAGGAGGATGATGAATGCGATGGAGAGGAAGGAGTGGGCCTTCAGAGAGCAGGAGATTGAAAAGTAGGTTCTCAGTCACCCAGACAACTGCTCCTGCACTGACAGGAGTAATGTTAATACTTTTTATTTGTAGAGCATTTTCCCAAATGTATGGATTTAAAAGCAATCCTTAACCTGTAGAATTAGGAAGGTTTCAGGAGCAATTGCTCTATAATTTTCTCTCCAATAATGTAAAACTGTAAAATGCCTTCTTTGTGTGTGCAGTTCACTGTGGACCCCAGATTGAACAGTTCCTCCAGACATCTCTGATTCTTCCCTTCCCTTTTCTCGTTAGTGTCTTATCTAGACTGTCACAGAATCCCACTGATTTCTGTAAAATGTCTCTCAAGCAGTCCCTTTCTGTTCCTTCCCAGGGCTGGGGTCCCTAGATGCTGGCCCTCCTCCCATCCATCAAACAACCGCCTAGCTGACCCTGTCTCTCTTCCCTCTGGTGCTGAATTCACAGTCAGGACACATTGGATTCTAGCTAATGGGCATTTTCTATTTAAAAGACCAATTGTAGAATTCTTTAATTAAGAGATGAGCTCACACCACATAAATAACAATGTGCTGAGGTATTTCTGGTTGAATTTTCAGTCATTTTAACTGACATATTTTCAATAATGAGGTTGTCTCTGGAATACAGAGAAATGATGAGAACCGAAAAATTATAGCTCCCAAGCAAGAAGGAAGGGAAGGGTTGTTGAGGGTGTCCTTTGTTCTGGGCTGCGCTGAGGCACTTCGCTGCTCGTAGCAGTGCTACTAAGCCCCGGACAGCGTGCTGACACACAGAAAGTGGGGGACTCCGTGTGGTTCTGAATCCAAAATATGTGTATCTTTTGGCAACACCTTTGATTAATCATCAATGCAGACTGATGTTTGGTAAAAGCTTACAATTTAATAGAAAATAGTGTTTGGGGCAAAGTAGGGGCCAGACACCCAATCCTGTCTGCAGGAATCTGAGTTTATTGCTGCGCTTTGAAGAGGTGTATTCTCGTCAGGAGGACATTAAAAATGTAACTGGCCAGAGTGAAGACATCACCTGAGAAAGTGGGTACTTTGGTTAAACTGAGGTTGATTTTAATAAACAGCTTGAGTCCCTCCTACGTGCCAGGCTCTGTGTCGTGAGTTGGGGAAACAGGAATGAACAGGAAGACAGAGTTCCTTGTGATCCATTGGAACAGGGAGCGAGGAGTGGGAGGGGGAGCAGATGGGCGAGGATGGAGCAAAAGACCTTCAGACCAACAGCTCTCAGGCAGGGTCTTCAGATGATTCTCTGTATACAAAGTGCTAGGAGAACCCAGACAGGACAAGAGTTCATTCTATCTGAAGTGGTTGAGGGTTTGGAAAAGCTACTAGAAGAGCTGGGTATTGAAGGGTGAGTAAAAAGTCATTAAGTAGATGATCAGCCAGTGATGGTGACGATAATGATGGTATGCATAGAGCATGCAATACTTAACAGGGTGCTTATTTCGTGCTGGAGCCAAGTTCTAAGCCAGTCATTCTCAGAGTGTAGTCCACAGGCCAGCAGCATCAGCAATGCCTGGGAACTCATTAGAAATGCACATTCTCAGGCCCCATCCCAGACCTCCTGAATCGGGGTTGGCCGCAGCAGTTCGTGTTATAGCAAGTCCTCCAGTTTTTCTGGCTAATGCTCAAGTTTGAGAGCTACTGTTCTAGTACATTGTATATATACATTAACTCATTTAATATTCACAACAACCTTAGGAGATGGGTACTATTAGTATGTCCGTTTGATGGCTGAAGAAATTGACGTAAGTGATGAAGTTGAGAATTGAACCTAGAATTTCCAGCTCTAGCAAGAAAGGTGACTGATGGGTGTGCTTATTTTTGTACATTTGAACATCTCCATATTCACCTGTTGCTGCTTCCCCACCCTCCCACATGTATTCACTGTGAGAAGCTCCACTGGTATGACGTGTTTGCTCTGTCTCTAGTCCTTTTGAGTTGATCATTCAGCTCCATCTGCTGAGGCCACACTTCTTGCTTGTCTGTGTGGCTAATCTCAGTCCATGTTTATCCTCAAGTACCGGGTGAATGGCTCCTCTAAGGAAGCTTTCCCCACCATCCTTCTCCTTCCCTTTGATCACCTGGAAATAGTGCTAGAAGAAGGGCTCTGCTGTTTCTTCTCCCGCAGAAGTCTTTTCATTCTTCTAGCCTGGTATCTGTCTCCTTGTGTTGTAAATATTGCTTTAAATGCCTGCTCCACTAGACCAGCGCTTCTTGAGAAAATGTGTTTTATCTTGTCCATCATTGTTTGTTCCCTGCCTGGCATATGTATTAATAATGTATTAATAAACACTTGGTAAATGAGTGACAATGAACTACTGTATGGATTTTAAAGTAGGAGTAAAATGTTCAATTCTCTATTTTAGGGAGGAAAATCTTGACAGCTCTGTGGGGAAAAGATTGCAAAGAGAAGAGACTAGACCAGCAACTAGAGTCCAAGTCAGGAGAGAGATGACAAAAACATGAGCTCAGGAAGTGATGCAAGAAGTGTTTTAGAGGAGGAATCATTAGAGGAGGAAAGAAGATGTAAGAGAAGGGTTAGATTTCTAGGGGAACGAAATGAGTGGGTTTTTTTTTTTGAGGTTGTCAGGGGTTAGTTGGAGATTCCAGTAGACAGAAGTTCTGGTTCAGAAATATCTGGGCTGGAGGTACATGTTTGGAAGGCAGATAGATGTGCATGGTTGTATACACATGAACAAGGTGGTCCTGGGAGAACAAGGCGAAGTGAGGGGAAGGGAAACGGAGACTGAGCATCCATGTGTGTCAGACGCTGCTGTTTTCACATTCACCACTTGAGGGCGCGTGCCACCACCTCATTTTCTCTCACGCCTTCCATTGCTTAACCTTCCAGCAATACCAGCCAACCTGGAACTGTGCACACACATTTTGCTGTTCATTTAAGACCATCTGCCCGGAGAGCTCTTTCTCACCCCGTCTCCCTGGCATCTCTTCTTCATGCTCCAGAGCCACACTTGAACATATTCCTATGATACGGATACTCCACACTAAGTTGCCACCCCCAGATCTCCAATTCATCTGTCACACTTAGGCCAGAGTGGCTTTTAAGATACACGAATATACCAGCCCCAAAGGAAGGTCCTGTTTGTGGCAGGTGTTTCCTTTCTAGCAGAATGCCCTGTTTGAGAGGCCGTATACTTCTGCATGTTTTGTCATTTCCTTGAAGGCTGCAGGCGATTCGCCTGGAAGTTCTAAAAGAGCTGTTGAAGAAGCGTGACAAGAATCAAAATGAAGTGAGCATGGCGCGCCTGAACGCCCAGTGGTCTACACTGCAGGAGGCAAAGGAGGCAAAGCTGGCACAGATTCAGCATGCACATGTCTCAGGTGAGCGCAGTATGAGCTGTGGGAAGGATGGAAAAGTTGGCTTTGCTTTGGATCTTTGACCAAACCTGATTTAACTGTGACATGATTCTTTTTTGGTCCTAGTGTTATTAAATAGGTGAAGGACAGGAGAGGAGTTTTTTTTCCTCGAAAGTAGAAGAGTGGAGGAGAACTCCTCCCTAAGAAAATCAAGTAATGATGTTCTAACAGGTAGTCACGTTGTTGACGTAACGGGGGTGTGTGTGTGTGTTGGGCTCCCCATATTCATGGGCCGAGGCCCTGGAGAGAAGCCCTGTTTCTCAACCTTTTTTTCATTATTTCCCACTAAAAGAGACATGCAGACATCTTTTTTCCTACTCATCCCTCTCCCATGAAATTTTAATACCACAGATATACTGTATATCTGCTTATGTACTATAAATATATCTGTACTTTACACATAAAAAGAGGAGTCAATGGAGGATTAAGAATGACTAAATAAAAACTTTTAATTAAGATTAAATTAAAATTTTTAACTGGTTAGCATTTAACTTAACTTTATAGCTGTATTTGCTGAGTACCTTCTAATATAATTTATTTACTTATAAAATTGTGGTGTATCAATTATACACAAATTAGAAATTTATATACATAATAATAGTCATGTAATCACATTAAAATTATTCAAAATTATTTTTCTAGCAACAGTAAAACAAATACAAAATTAAATTAATTCCTTAAAAAATTATTTCTAGTGAACATTTAACTTTTTCTTGATGTGAGAAAATAACTAGCTGCTCCATATGCATTTAAATATTGTCAACACTTTTTTTTCAGTAATTGACATCACTAATAATGGGTTGGCTAACTTTTTTTTTTTTTTTTTTTAACTTTTCCTGTCCCTCTCTCTTGTCCTCTGGGATCACCTCCCAGATAAACTACCTGCATACATGCCTTTGGCTCAGGTTCTGCCTTTCGGGGAACCCAGGCTAAGACACATCTCAAATGTCACTTCCTCAGGGGAGTCCTTCAAGGGTCCCCACTCTGCCCCCAAATTAGTCCCTGTGATCTGCTCTTGCTATTATATGGCCCTGAATTTGTGGGGGGGTGTGTGAGAAAATGACTTCACTTAACTAGCTGCTAGGTATACATTTAGATATTATCAACACCTTTTTCTTTTCAGTACTTGACCTAACCAGCGATGAGTTGACTAACTTGTGGATAACTAATGAAATGTAAAGTATTTTTATTTGATTATGAAATCCCAAGTCATAGCCACTTGCACTGAGGATCAAATATACTTAACACCCAAAAGGCGGCAGCAGCACGTGCAGCCACCTCTTGCAGTATGACTTTGAAATCTCACAGTATGTTTGTACACCCATTGAGAGTGCATGATGTTGAGTCTTCAAAAAGGGGTGGGTCTGTGGTGGGGCTGAAAGAAAAGGAGCAGTTGGAGGTAGTGAGCCCGACTCCTTAGATGAGTAAACTCCTAGTGTACGCAGCTGAGACTCCCAAACAGTTTGGATGTATTCTGACTTACTCTGGTGTTAGCCAAGATGGACAGAGAGTTTTGAAGAACCTGTAGTCTTCCCTCCCTTGTAATTCTTCTCCGAGGAGAGAATAATTCCCCTAGGCTCCACTGAACATGTATTTTTCAGTTACTTTGGGTTTCTTTCATTCATTTAACAAACTTTTATTGAAGACCTCTTCCTGGCCCAGAGCGTGGAATGCAGTTATAAAAGATTTTTGATTTGTACCAAGTCAGGATACTGGCTGATTCAGCTTCTGTCATGCCCACCTGTCCATGACAGCCTGGGCCACACAGATGACAGATCTATGTTTTCAGTGTTGTGTTCTGGCTGCGGTGAATGAGAGTGATGAAATTCATTCAGTTCAGTCGTCTCCCTGTGAACAGAACTACAACTGGTTTACTTGTCTGCATTTGGATCGTTCAGAACAATGTTTTGGCGATAGTCATGGAGGTATGTTTTATTTTAGCGATGAGAAAACTTACGGGAAAGGGAAAGAATATAGAAGGGAAGTTGGAGAGAAGAAATATCATCAAGGATTATTCTGATTATGGGTCACAGGTCTATGGACCTCTGTCTCGCCTTGGTCGGTTCCCAGACAACAACTCAGAGGACTTTGTAGTAAAAAACCACTATCTCAGCACCTATGAAGGTAAGCAGTTCATATCATCGCAAGTCCAGTATAAGAAGTTATCTTAGAAATGTAAATTAAACATACAAAATATAGCCATTTAGATTAAAAACTAATAAAATACTTGCAATAAATAGCAATTATATGTTTAATATTATTAATATTATAAGTTCATAGAAACCAATAAAAACTGCTAAGACCCAAGTAAATATACAGATACCCTATACAACAGTTTATCAAGGAGTAAAGTCAATAAGCTACTAAACACTTAAACATGTTTAATGTCACTGATAACCAAAGTTATACAAAAATGAAATCAAAAAAGCTTTTATATCAGGTTTTTGAAGCAAACAAGAAATATATAATGAAATCAGCCCTTTATGAAGAAATGCTAGGAAACAAGTGGGCAAGGGGATGGGTAACTAGGGAATAAATTGATGAAGAAGTTTGTATCTGTTATAAAGTCCAAGAGAGGCTTATTTAAATTATTTAAATTTTAATTGACAGATTTAAGTATCATATGACCAAGATCACGGTCACACCATTGAACTTGTAGCTCTGGCTGACCATCTCCAGAGCAGAGAATGATAATCTGGTGTACATCTGCTTTAGAATGGTGCTGCCATGTATCATATGATCACTAATTTTTTTTGTTGATCATTGTGGAATGTATTACTTTTTTGTGGGGCAATGGTTTCATTTTAGAATGCATTTCTTTTTTTATAATCTAAGACACCAAGAGTATGTGTTAATGATACAGAAATTTGCTTTGTATTTCAGGGACAATTCAATTATATGAGGTACACCTTATCAATAATTCTAAATGAATTAGGCAAACAGCTATTAAAATTAACAGTATGCTTTCAAATGCTAAGTTTAAGCACCCGGATACTAAAATAATGTACTTCTTTCCCATAGGATTAGTTGAACTTGAATCATGTCTCCCAGATTTTGTGACACAACCCCGAATCAAACCTCCAAAACCAAAAGTCACCACCACCAAAGATGGTTTTCTAAAGAGGGCCGCAAGGATGGACCGTGAGTTGGCAGAGGTTCATAAGGTATAATTCTTGTCTGGAAGACAAGATGCTTCTAGTGGGACTTTCTGCAGGAAAATATTACACTCCCAAAACTGCGCTTCGTCTTGGGCAGTAGTTCTCAACACACAAGCTTACGTTCATTTCCTCTCTACACTTTTCTCTTCTGGCGGGTTGCCTCTGCTGTGCTGAGTCAGTGGTTTTTGTTTTGTTTTTTGGTTTTTGTCTTGCCTTCACTTCAGATTGTAGGAAAACCTCTGGGAAGTTGTTCTCCCCATTTGCAGAATTCATGCTACTTTCTAAACATGGTTCTGCCTTTGGATCTGCACAATAAAATTTGACACAACATTGAGCTGTAGCAAGTGTCTAGTGTTAGGAATTACTTTTGGTTTTAACAGTGTAATAGGCCTCATTTTCTCCCTTTTAGATTAGTTACCAGAGCATCATGAAGAAAGGGAGTCATGTTCAGCTCCCCTCTCATCTAGTTTAAACCCAGCTAAATGGGCAAGTCTGATGGTCATCCCCATGTCCAACTCCACAGCGTCATCCGCTAGCTAGGATTTCTCTTTTGTTAACTGGACTACAGATGTACAGACTTTAAAATCTGTGGTTTATGATAGTGATGCTCAGTCCTTAGCCTGCATCAGAACCACCTGGAGGGCTTTTAAAAACACAAGTTGCTGGGTCCTACCCACAAAGTTTCTGATTCAGTAGGGGTGGGGCCGGAGTATTTGCATTTTTTTTGCAATTTTCTGGGTGATGCTGATGCTGCAGGAAACCCATTTTGAGACGACTGATTGATGACATACCGTCATCACTGGTCCAGCATGTTTGTTCAGTTAGTTTTAGTAACATTATAAGGATCCATGGGAGCCCACACTCAAGACAAAAATTGGGACTTTGACAATAATTTACGTATATCTGTGTGGTTCTTTCCCACCTCATCCCCCGTCTCCGTGTACCTCTTCTGAATTCTGTGTTCATCATTTTCTCACTTTCTGTAAGATTTTTTTGCAGTTGTATTTATTTGTTAGGGTATGGAAGTTCCCTTCTATTCCTAATTGACTGAAGGTTTTAATTATGTGTTTGTGTTGAATTTTATCAAATGTTTTGCCTGTATCTATTAAGATAATTATATTTTTCTTTTAAAAATTATTATTGTAATAAGGAACATTTATAGTTTTTTACAAATATTAATCTATCCTTGCATACTTAGTATGAACATAATTTGGTCAGGGTGCATTATTTTAATACATTGTGGAATTTGATTTCCTAAGATGTTCAGAATTTTGAGTCTACGTTCATGAGTGAAACGGCCTTTTTCTTTCTCAGTTTGACTATATGTGGTGGTGGTGTCATATGCAAGTCTTCTGAAATGAACTGGGGAGTAGTCCTTTCTGAGCTTAAATATGTTTGAGATGATCTATTTCTTCAGTTTGGTAGAATATTAATATAAAATTATCTGAGACTGATGTTTTCTTCATGGGAAAAATTTCAAGCACTCCTTCAATTTCCTTACAACTTACAGAACTTTCTGCATTGTTTTGACAAATTGTATTTTTAAAAATTGTGTTTTCTTTACAAATTTAGTTTCACCTAACTTTTCGATTTTTTTTTTGCGTATGGTTGTTGATAGTATTACTTTAAAATCTTTTTAGTGTTTGTTTTATCTATAATCATGCCTACTCTTTTCATTCATAACATTATTTATTTGCGCTTTTAACTCTTTTTTTCCTTAATCAGTTTTACTGGAGGCTTGCTTATTTTCTTGGTTTTTTTTCCAAACAATGAACTTTTGAGTTTGCTGATTTTCTCTATAATATATATTTTTTCAGTTGCATTAATTCCCACTCATATTTATTGTATCTTTCTATTTTCTTTAGGTTTGTTTTGTAGTTCTTTTCCTAACTTAAAGTACACATGTAGCTCATTAATTTTCAGTTACTCATCAGTTTTACATAAGTACTTAAAGTTAAACATTTCTTTCAAAATATTGATTTTGGTACATTCCATTAGTTTTGATATATAGTTTTTCTTTATTATATAGTTTGCCATATTATGTAATATCTAATTTTTAAAAACATTCCTTTTGATTTTTGAACCCCTGAGTATTTGACAGTGTGTTTTAAAATTTCCAAATATGCAGGGATTTTAAGTCATTTTCTAGTTAATTTCTAAATTGCTCTATGATCAGGGTCCCTAACCTGTATGATACCTATTTTTTGAAATTTAGTGAGGCTTGCTTTATGAACTAGTATATGATTTTACACATAAAATAATCTAAGTCCACTTCCGAATAATACTGTAACTTCTCATGTAATGCAGGTACTTTATGGTGGATTATACCCAATTCCTCCCCGTGACATTGCTGTCATTCATTTCACTGATTGATGTGCTATAATTGTCTGATACATTTTTACTATTATTGCTTTAATAGTTACCTTTTAGATCAATTAAAAATAAAAAATAATTTTATTTAACCTTTTTTTCCCATCTCTTCCACTCTTCCTTTCTTTTATAGATCCAAGTTTCTGACCTATATCATTTTCTCCTGCCTGAAGAACTTGTTTTGCCATTTATTGCAGGGCAGGTCTGCTGGAAGTGAACTCTTTCAGTTTCTTATTGTCTCAGGAAGTCTTTACTTCTCCTTTTCTTTTTTTTTTTTGAAATGTAATTCACATACCATAAAATTAACCCTTATGAAGTATGTAATTCGGTTGTTTTCAGTGTACTCACAAGATTGTTCGACTATCAACACTGTCTAATTCCCGAGCACTCTCATCATCCTAAAAGGAAACTCCATATCCGTTAGCCATCTTACCCTCTTCCCAATTACCCTCTTCCACCCATTGTCTGGCAACCACTAATTTACTTTCTTTCTATGGATTTGCCTATTCTGTATATTTCATATAAATGGAATCATACAACATACAGCCTTTTGTGTTTGGCTTCTGTCCCTCAGGTTAATGTTTTCAAAGTTCATCCATGTTCTAGCATGTCTTGGTACTTCCCTACTTTTATGGTTGCATAATATTCCACTGTGTGGCTATACCATATTTTGTTTATTGACTCATCAGTTGATGGAAACTTGAGTTGTTTCTTTTTGTCTATTTTTGTATAAATAATGCTAATAGGCACCTTCGTGTATGCATTTTTGTATGGATGTGTTTTTCAGTTCTCTTGAGTCTATACCGAGGAGTGATTTCTGTGTTACGTGGTAACTCTATACTATACTTTATGAGAAACTGCCAGACTGTTAAAAAAGGCTGTACTATTTTACATTCCCACCAGCAATGTATGAGTGTTCCAATTTTTCCACAACTTTGTCATCTCTTGTTATTTTTCATCTTTTTTATTATACCCATTCTAGTGTATCAGGTGGTGTATAATTGTGGTTTTGATTTGCATTTGTCTAATAATTAATGAGTTTTAGCATCTTTTCATGTGCCAATTGATTATTTGTATAGCCAATTCTTTTTTGGAAAAATGTCTATTCAGATATGTTGCTTATTTTTAAACTGGGTTTCTTTTTATTATTTATTATAGACATTATTTTTAATGTCTTTATTGTTGAGTTGTAAGAATTCTGTGTATATTCTGGAGACTAGATGCTTATCAGATACATGATTTGAGAAGTATTCTTCTGTTCAGTGGGATGTCTTTTTGCTTTCTTGATAGTGTCCCTTGAAACACAAAGTTATAAATTTTGATCTTTTCACTTGTGAATAATGATTTTAGTAGATAAGAATTCTAGGTTGGTGGTTTTTTTCTTCCAGCACTTCTAAGATTTCATCTCTCTTCTTGCATGTGTGGTTTCTGACTAGAAGTCCACTGTAATTCTTATCTTTGTTCCTCAGTAGTTAAGGTATGTTTTTCCTCTAGATTCTTTCAGATTTTTCTCTTTATCTTTGCTTTTCTTTAAGTATTATATGCCTGAGGTTTTTTTTTTTTTTTTTTTTAAGGTATGTATCTTACTTGGTGTTCTCTAAGCATTCTGGATCTGTGGTTTGGTGTTCGTCTTTAATTTTGGGAAGTTTTCAGCTATTATTACTTTAAATATTTCTTCTACTGCATTCTCACTTCTCCATCTGGTATTCCAATTACATATATTATACTTTTTTATATTGTCTCACAGTTTTGGGATGTTTCATTCTGTTTTTTTGTTTGTTTGTTTTTTCTTCTCTCTCTCTTTGTTTGCATTTCAATTTGGGAAAAGGTATCCCCTCCTGATGTCCTGCTGTGGTTTCCTCTTTATGTTTCCAGTTAAAGAAGATCTTTTTGGCTGGGTTCCAGTCTTTTTTTTTTTTTTTTTTTTCTGAATGATTGTTTAGCAGTCACTTGTGGTTTTGTTGTAGTCGCTAGGAGAGGCGAGCTTGTGGTCCTGATACTCTGCTGTCTTGACCAGAAATCCTCTTTTCAATATGATTTTAAACAGGATTGTTTCCTTACTTTCTCCTTATGATAGTTTATTATTAGTGTAGTAGAAAAGCAACAGATTTCTGTATATTAATCTTGTATCCTGTAACTTTACTGAATTTACTTATTAGTTCTAATAGTTGTTTTTTTTTTTGGTGGGGGGGAGACTTTAAGGTTTTCTATATATATTATCATGTCATGTGCAAATAGTGACAGTTTTACTTCTTCCTTTCCAATTTGGATGCCTTTTCCCCTTTTTCCTTGTCTGATTGCTCTTACTAGGACTTCAAACACTATGTTAAATAGATGTGGCAAGAGAGGGCATTCTTGTCTTCTTCCTGATTTTAGAGGAAAAGCTTTCAATTTTTCACCATTGAATATGACATCAGCTATAGGTTTGCCATAAATAGCTTTTGTTTCCTCTGTACCAATGTTGATGAAAGTTTTTATCCTGAATGGATTTTGAATTGTGTCAAATGCTTTTTTTCTTCATCTGTTGAGATGATCGTGTGATTTTTGTCTCTCCTTTTGTTAATGTGGTGTATCATATTGATTAATTTGTGAGTCTTAAACCATCCCCGCATCCCTCAAATAAATCCCATTTCATC